GCTGTTTTTTTTTTCTAGCTTGCATCTGTCCAAGATATGGCTTTTGTAGCGTGATATACACACGATAATAGATATGACAGGATCCAGTGCAGTGAATTATATACATATATATAACAGCTACAATATAGTGTAAATATATTTGTATTCGTATACGGCAGTATTATCTTATCGGTGTTTTTTTTTTAATTTAATAATCTTTCAAATCATGTGTGTACGATTCGATTTCACTACGATAAATTCTATTAAGAAATCTAAGCACGCTCATTTGTGCTCCGCATATGGAAAGCGCAGGTAGATAAAAAAAAAGAGAAAGCTAGACAAAAAGAAATCCGTTTATGTTCGTTAATGAAACAGGTTCTCTCATTTCGTTCTTATTTATGATGCAGAAAAAAATTTATAGTAAAAACACACATCAAGACTTGATTTGAATTTACTGGCGAAATTAAGTATAAATTTAGCTCTTTGCATCAACAATTTGCGTATCGCTCTTAACTCTTAACACAGTTTATGTACATCTATAAAATATAAGCTAAGAGAGAAGTTGTATTTCCATTAATGATTTAACTTTAACAATCAACACTATACAACAAGGGACTTTCTCGCCGAGTGTTATTCGCCCCGTTTATTTCAGACTCGCGATTCTGTTATTCTTGGGCGGCATTCTATCTTTAGTTCTGGCACACGTCTTGCCATAAGTGTTACGTTATAATCCCAACTTACGAGTACTAGATAAACGTGATATTAAGAACAAACCCATTATGTCACAACACCGCAGAAATATGAGGTGTCCTATTTTTCACTAACTGTGACTCATTACGTAGTCACTGGTAAAAATTTCAGCTCGCGATATTTCGGTGAAACAATATCGTTCTGCGTGTTTTCACATTGGTGGAAAAATATTTTGCCAGTCGCGTATGTAGCAAGAGTTATTGTTTCAAAAATCTGCTTTCATTGCTTAATGAGTACGATGTAAAATAATATGCTGCTGCGCGTGCTGCGTATAAAGGATGCATGTAAAATTAAAAGTTGAATACGCCGCGACAATGAATAAAGCGAGTCTCGTGTCCGCTACCTGAAATCACAGCACATTGAAATAACGAACTCCGATAAATCGACTTAAATATCTGAGAGTGCATAAATACGCTACGAGCCAGTGTTTTATATTAAAAATAGACAACGTTCTGGGATTCGCTCATTTTTATTTTCAACGCGCCAATGTGTAACGGGAATTTGCATCGAATATCTAAATACATTTAAGCAGTAAATTGCTTGTTTGGATCGTCTATTCTCGCAAAATTTCCATCATGAATAATTGAGTATAGGCGATATGAAGGCGGAAACCGTCGAAGGTTTTCAGTTGAATTCACATCAATCGCGGGCATCATTCTCATTCGGTTCTCGTTCGCTTTAGCATTAGCGCTTCCTATGACGAGTTGACGACGGCCTTTCACGAAACGATTTTGCGCGCTACGTTCGTCTCAATGTCAATAGCGAACGAATACGACGGCACGTTGACTGAAAAGTTCGAGTAACTAATTAGCGATTACCGTGTAATCGGCGGTTAACACATAGAAAACCGCGATATACAGCAATCGCTTGCGTTGCGGCACGCCTCTTGTTTGATGTAGATAACGATTATCTCCGAAAGATAATCCATGCAACGGGTCAGACAAAGAATCTCACGATTCAAGATTACTGGACGTGTATACGGTTACTTCATAAATAATAACCATAGGACGAGAAAATATATTTTGCGCGAGAGAGAGATAACGTTTAATTTTTAATATTTTTGAAGAGGCGCTTCTTTTTTTAAGAAAATTAATAATTAAATATTTTTCCATTTAAGTACTTATACATATAAAATATTAGTTGAATATATTAGATAAATGCACTTTTGATTAAGCGTAAGAGAATATCGCAAAATACACGGAAATTCCGAAATAATAATTTCCGCTACAAGTTCATATACACGAAACTTACATTGCGCTCGGACGGTATACGCAAGGTCAGTAATTATCTGCTGCAACCGTGCTATCGCTTGCGTAAATCGTTGGTTTCATTGCAAGCCGCGATTTCACCGGAGTTGTAATTTATCCAAGAATTCACATCGCACCTACGGCTAATTGAGTTTAATTGATTGTACGTGGATTTAATTCATCTAAATGGTAATAATACTCTGTGGTATATGGCAATAACACGTATATCAATGCGTTAATCGTTTCTCGGCGTCTATGTGGTCTCATAATCGAGGGAATAATAGTAATATTAGGAAGTCTTTGTTACTTAATAAGATAAATGAGCTGGTGGGAGATAATAATGCTGCCGAGAATTGGATGAGGGCCGAAGTAATTTATGGATGATCGCGCGGCGCCTGTGATCCGCAGAATTTCGTTCGTGATCAAGCAACGTCGACAAACTTTCGTATTCAAAGTTTACTTTAATATGAATTAGTTTCCATCTACAAAGAAATATCAAAAACACATCTACGTTATTTACCAGAAAAATACAGACTAAAATATATAAATATATTAAGTTCAGATAATTTAGTAAATAAAAAGAATGATTTTTATTAACTAAAGCAGCTGAAATACCGCGGGAAATTAAAATCGATTCTTGATAAATTGCTGTAACATTGAAACTAATTTGTGCCGTTTCACGGTTCTTTGCAGATGCTATCCATGACCTGTTGGCATCTATCTACCGAGAGAACTTCGATTTTTATAATCCTCCATCCGGCGATTCGCAATATAAGATTGAACGGGTTTATTGCGGATTTTAATAACTTTCCTGATCGATCTAATAGCGCGCGGGCGGGAGTACGGATTTAAAAAATATAATGGCATAACGTTTACGAGTTTCTTTAACAGTCATACATTTTTAATATCTCCTGAAATCCCTCTCTTTCCTTCTGAAGACCCAGCACACGCGCACTTATTTACGCAAGAATTACTTTAACGTTTATAGTCGATGAGAATTGTCCGCAGATTTTTCCTTCGCTTTAATGGACCGCGCGAAAATTTCCGTGGCGAAAAAAGAGCATTACGACAAGCGGAAGGGCGAGTTTCTGTTACAAGGGCGAGATTAATGATCGCAATTAAGACACAATTAAGAATCTATACATATTAAAATGTTATTAAGTTACATAAGATAGAACTGATTATCTTAATTATTCTGCTAGTTGTCTATACGATATTGTTAAACTTCTAATTGTTCATCATAAAATTGTATAATGGCCATTTAAATTTACATTTACTTTTATGTAATATGTTAAATAGTAGCCCAAGGATAAATTTAGAAAATTTTCAAAAATACGATCTCCAAGTTTAATTAGTTCGTTAAAACTGTGAGCTTTTAGATTTTTACATAAGACGTGGAAATTTGCAAAAGAATTTGACGCCTGGACTCGAAGAATGTTCGGTCGTTGTATCTTTTCTGCAAAGCCAAATGAACAAATCAGTTCTTTAGATAGTGGTTAAAAAGGAGGAGCAACGGAGGATGGAAAAGGCGAGAATTTATGTAGTATAATTTGTGTGTATGACTTGAATAACTACCTACATAATATAACGTGGCTGAGGCGGGAGAGCGACAGCGGTAAGCGGACGACGCCCTTCGCGATGGAGTTTTAATTAAAATTACGTACGTTTGCCTCTCGGAACGTGCACACGTTACTCTCTCGCCTTCTCCTCGCTTCTATTTTATATTTTTATGAGCTTTTCATTAAGGACGCGCGTGTATGCGCGCGCGTGTGTCTGAGCATGCCACTTGTGTCGTACGCAGCGTATTCTCGGGAGGAGCGGAGGATGTCTTTGAAACAGCAACCGTGGCTTAAATTGGGTCCTTTTTCTTCCCTCCTCCCGTCCGGTTGGCGAATCCTCATTTACGGAATTCGTATGAAGGAATTTCTATCGCGCGCTTTTGTAGGTCGTCGATTGTCGACGACAAATAACGAATCGTCCTTGTAGAAATGCCACAACGAGCGAGCTTGTTGTAACAAGCACCTCTTTTGCGCGGGATGCGTGGGGTGCTGTGATAAATGAGCGAAGGACCGTAGAAAGGAATGAGAAGAGGGAAATTGGGAAATTATTTGCACCTGTGTGATGTGAAGGAATGCAAGTTCCTGAGTGCTTGAGGGGAAATTATGAGGCGAGATCGCACGTTGAATATATCGTTTCACTGCGCGGAGAGAAAGTATGTGTGGTATCCGTATAAGGACGCAAATATTTTTTCTTCCATTCAGAGAAGTTCCTCTTTGTAACACGATTTATCAGAAACTACATTTGAATGAGCATATGAAGTCTAAATTTTTTATGTCTTTTTACGCTTAGAGTCTTTTTAATTGAAATAATTCGTTTATTAATTTTTCGTTTACATAAATGACGACGTATAGTCGTTCACTGATGCGAAATCGCTAAAGCTTCTCGTCGACATAATTGTTTAACGATCGTGATGGCACAAGACAGTCTTGATTAGCCTCCGGCTAATTCTCTCGTCGAGACAATGATACATCTACAATGAATATTCAACGTGTCTGTGAATTCACTGGTTTGTGCTGCATATGCATTATCAAGACTTGGTAGACAATAATAATTGACATGTCCGCGAGGACTTGGAAGCTGTTGAAATCGCAGAATGCAAAACGACCAATTGGCGTAATGTTTGAAGTATGCTAAATCGATTCGAGATTTTCGTAGAAATCGTAGCTATCGAATAGGACATTTGCATTTGTACAAAGATAAAATCTCCTACTGCCGCTATTTTTTAAGTATTTTAATGCCGTGTTCCTTGTGACAAATAAAAGATTGGCCACAACATTCAAATGTTTCATACAATTATGGAAATTGAGCAACTTTAATTTAATTTAATTTTTTTCCGAACACAAGTGTGCGACTTAAAATTCGTATTTAAAAACACTGTATGAAATTCGTACGTATGAACGGACGATATATCGGAGCATGGGAAAGAAGAGGGATTGCGAGGTAGTAATCGGCGTGCTGCGATAGGTTTGTTAAAGGGCTCCGTCACGGCTGAACGGCCGCGTACTTTGCGCCGCTTGCGGAACGTCTACGGTCAGACCGCATGCGGGATGGGAACCGGCGGCGACGGCGGGGGTGGAGATCGTCTCGAGGACGGCGAGGTCGCCTTTCGGCTTACCGGTGACCGGGATCGCGACAGGGACGAGAAGTCTCTCAGCATAATGAGCCCGTTCGACGAGCAGGAGGAATGGGCTAAGATCTCGGAGATCATGGCGTCATTCGGAACTGGTCTTGTACGAGAGTCGGTGTTTGTCAGCGAGCTCGAGAAAGAATTCCAAACGAGGCTAGGTAATCTTATCGCCATGCACGCTCTGCTTTTGATTTCGCCAGCAAAGGCATTGATCTTGAACGATTTCTCGAACTCAAGTTCATGTAACGTGTATCGTGTATACTCGCATATTTTTTTCGAGGAATTATTATTTTAGAAAAATTATTTTACTTTATTTTTCACATAACTAAAATATACTTCTTTTAACAACAGCGCGCATATTTTAGCGTATTTTAATATATCTTTAAAGCGATTAATCTGACAGATTAGCGTCACGATGAAGTTATAGAAAAATATTTCTTCATTTCCTGTATCTTAGGTTTAAGTTCAGACAGCAGCAGTCCCATCGTTTCCACAACTGTGGGCCAGTGGCTGTCCAGCTTGGGTTTCGCGGATTACGAGTCTCTCTTTATTAACTACGGCTACGACGATCTCGAGTTCATAGTGAGTATATAGACAATGCGTCACGCATTGTGCGATCGCGATCGAGAGACATGCGGGAAATCGTTTAATTGCGCGCGATTGCAGAACGGGGTGTTGGACGAGTCGGATTTGTGCGACATGGGGATCAGCAGTGATCAGGAACGGGCTGTGATCATGGACGCGGTCGGTTTGCTGAACAAACGAGTGGAAAAGCGTAGCGGCGGCGGTCACGGCCAATCGGTGGAGGAGTGGCTGAAGAGCATTCACATGGAAAATTATGCGGAGACGTTCAGGAAGCACCTGTACACCGATATGGATCGGGTCAAACGGATCTGGGAGGTCGAGCTGGCGGCAGTCCTCGAGATCCAGAAGCCGGCGCATCGCAAACGCATCCTTGCATCCGTGAGTGGTCCGAATAGTGCACGCGCGCAAACACGAAACGGCACGGGCGCGAACTTGGAAGACTTGAATAAGGATCTCAACACCCTGGTAAGTGGGACAGATTAATTTGCTTCTGATCGTATCGTGATGCAAAATTAATTCCTTTTTCTGTAAATAAAACGCTCTTAAAAATATTCCGTGCTCCTTTAAAACAATCTACGCACCTTTGATACAAATAATCGATAGAGATCAGCACAAATCAAAATTACAAAAAGTTAAGTACGCTTATTTATTACAAAATATCGAGAAATAGCATAAAGCGTATATACAACGCAGAAAATAAATTTTTCTATCGATAAATTAAGTAGCAAAATGTTTAGTCGTCTTGCGAATCGATACATTGACAGGATCGTCGGTGAACGAAGATAATACGTTCAACGGGGGTGTCTGACAAGAGCGTACACTTCGCCGGCGAGGGTATAGGACGCAGCGGAGTCGAGAGCGGGCGGTGATGTGGCAAGCTCGATCGCGTCATAATGTAAATATCGTGGCTAATTGGAGGCTCGGTATTGTGATGCATGCGTATACATGTGTATTTTCTCCGAGACGATCGTTCGAGCGCCTCTCAATGCTTTTTGTTCGGGTGCCTTCACCGTGTCAGGCGTCGATAAGCACATCTCGCTGTTCACCCGCATCTCCCCCACACTCTAGCATTCTCTTAATTAGTTCATTAAATCTCGTAAACGTGTCCGGCAACTGGATTCGTTCGCGTCATCCTCGCATATCCTCGATAATCCCGACAAATTGGTCTCTCTCCTCTGCCTTTTCTGCCGGCCTCTTCCTCTCCCGTGATTTTTCACAGCTATCGAACCCGACGAACCATAGTTTGACTCCGACACTCTCGTTGGTAACGCCCGCGGATTTTCGTGCAGTCCATACGCTCTCCGACATTCGAATTTCACATGTTCTCTCCCTCTCTTTCTCTATCACTCTATCACTCTCGCGTTTTCATTTCACCTCCCTTTCGCTCGAGTCTTCTGCAATTTGTCGCAATAGCAATACCCGGAATTATATGCAGAGGCCAGATGGAGCGAACGATTCGGGTTGTAATCCGAATTCGAGTGTCGCACCCGCCCGACTCGAATCCAATTTGTTTGCAATAGCTGAAATATCGCGACTATCGATGCCACATGATGCGGCGTATTTTGGCACAGCCGGTAAAAGGTTTCTTTCTGGTGTAATGGTTTACAACACAATGCGTTTACGAAGGTAATTACACGTTGCACAAAGGAAACTCGGGACGAATTTCGGGACTTGGTAATATGGCCGCGTGTAAAAGTTTTGGATGGCACAATATTTTTTCCTTTTTTTTTTTACATTGCACATAGCCTAGCGTTTCGTTAAAGCCAGTCGGTCCAGCAGATTCTTGTCATGATAAAGCTATAAAAAAATATCTGCCAGAGAAATTGCAACCTCGGGGCAGACATGGCAGTCTCTATTCGGAATTGCACGGAAATTGGTATTTATCTGTAAGAGGGAATGTAAAAAAACTCTGCTTTGGTATGCAATTTTTTGCAATGATTGCACGAGAGAGACGGTAAATTCAAACAATTTGAATATTTTTCTGCAATAATAAAAAATTTGTCGAAACATACATATCTGCACTTGTTTATAAATAACACAGACGAAAATTTATTATTATCTGTTTTATATATAGTTATTGCGTCGCAGTTCACATTTAAAGCACAAAATATTACGTATTTCGCGAACAAACGATCTAAACCACGCGTCAACCCCCCCGAACAAATTCAGGATCGTCGGCCGGATGATCCGTTAGGATGATGCGAGGATCGGCTCTCTCAAATCCGGTTGCGCGATGTTATTTCCGTAGAAGACGAACATACAGCAGCTGAAGGAGGAGATACGGGAGAAATTGCCGGAAGCAACGGCGGAGGGTAACGGAGGCACGTCGATAACCAGTGGCACGAATTCGACGGCCACGGGCACATTAAGGCACCGCAAAAACAGGCCGGCGCCTCAACCACCCCAGCGACCCAGTTCGCATAATGGGGCGATTTCGGCGCCGGAACAGCTCGAGATCAGGGCTCCGTCCGAGCTGCTCTTCGGGGTGCCCTCCACTCTCAAGACACAATGGAGGCATCAGGCAAAGGCTCTGGTCACCGGCTGCGTCACGTACATCGCTAACGTAAGTTTTGCCTCTCACTTTTATACGTTGCCTTTCTGTCATCGGTATATTGCTGAAAAGAAAAGAAGAAATATACATTTGGCTATTTATTTTCTAAACGTAACGAGTAGCATTCACTTCCGATATGCCAGATCGATCAATCGTTAAAACTACTTGAATGGCAAATTTTCTTTAGCAACTATTGCATACGAGAAACTTTTGTATATATCGTATCTTTTGTCTTTTGCTATGATATAGTTTGACGTATGAAACTGTGAATTGTGCACGAAAAATGTTTCATTTAAAAGATTATATTAAACTACCATTAGGATTTTTTTAAACAAGTAAAATATTATGAGTTTCTATAATTTTATGTCTTTATAAGGTTCTCTTGAACTTGCCTATTGTCTTACTCTGTTAATTATGTATGACGAGTGAATTATGACACTCGTTAAATAGCTTCAAGGCCGACCGTGATTATAGTTAAATCGTAGGATGCGGTAATAGAGGCTTCGTGCAGAAAATTGTCCTGTCTATTAATCCTTCGGAATATTCCAATCCAAGAGAGAATCCATTTACATGCAGAATTGTATTCAGAATATTTAAATAGTAATTTCAGAACTTTTGTAAACCCCGCGATCCCTAAAAACTTCGCCTAAATCATTTGTTGTCTTTCTTGGGGAAAAAAAGCTCTTTCTGTTTATAAATAATACAGTATCTGGGCTCCACCGTCGTCAAGGAATTACGCGGCACCGAGTCGACGAAAAAGTCAATACAGAAGCTGAAGAAGACCTTTCGAGAACCTAGAATCACCCCTGACATTATGCTGGCGATTTCTTATCGTGGCGTTCGTTTTCTCAACACGTTAACTAATGTAAGGTTCTTTTTTGTCGTAGTAAACACTTTGTACGTGTAAAACAAAAATATAGAAGGGCATGTTTTTTTTACGACTGATGCTACAGGAACCGATATGCGAGCACGAGATACGTAACATTCACTGCGCCTGCCAAGATGCTGACGATCTTACTCACTTCGCGTATATCACGAAGGACCACGCCAGTCGCACGCACTTTTGTCACGTATTTTGCGTGCCAACGATGGTAAATATCTATTTTATCAAGAACTAAGGGAAAAACCGCTTAAACTTTTTGCATATCTTGTCCGCATACAATTGCCTACGATTTTACTTGACGCTCGGACGTACGAAGCTCCGTCATTCCGTTACAGGATCAAGCGACAGAAGTCATTCTGACTCTGGGTCAGGCTTTCGAGGTAGCTTATCAAATGGCATTGAAGGACAAGCTCGGCGGCCACGCTATTCGGTCCCAATCCGCCAATCAACTAGCAACGCTCGCTGGATCGTCAAAGTCAACGACGCCCGCCAAAATGTCCGTGTCTCCCGACTCCACGTCCGATCCCGCCGGTCGTGACACGGATCATACCATGATTCTCAATTCCACGTCGTGCGCGAATCCCAAGATGAAATCGAGATCGAAGTCCATACCCAATCCAAATCTCCATACCGTTAATCCAAATCCGACTCAGGACAGTAACTCCAACTCCAGTTCGAGCTCGACGACGACCACCGCCGCGAACTGCAATCCCAGCTCGAATTCCGCCTCGACCCCCAGCGCGAACTCGATCACCAGCTCTAACTTGAACAGCACCGCTAATCAGACCACTAAGCCTTTGGTCACCCACGGCCGTTCTCATTCCGTCAACGACATCAAGGTAAACGGTAATCAATTGAAGTTAGCACCGGCGCCGGTGGACGACATCGGTATCGGAGTGAAGGACATGAAGCCCGGTTCCAGAGCTCCGATCGCGCTCTCCGAGGAGCTATAAGCTGTATATATTGAGTCAAAATGCATGATACATCGCGATACATGATTGTGTGGCGTTCGATATTGATTGAAACGCGTCGCCTTCACATCGACACGAATGACAGAGATCTTCTAGCGTCATAGACATTGACTGTTATAACGATTTTCGATTATAACGATGGCAATATTTCGTTATTACTCGCAAAGTTTGCATAAAGAATTAAGCGAAGCATCGTGTATATACGCGTCTCTCGCGATTTTGAGATTAATCGCGATTGCAAAAAATGCAAACAATATTCTCTCGATTGATTGAAGGTATTAATCGGAATTATGCGATTACCATAACTAAGTATAGTTCCTTGACGCGTAAGAAGGAGCGAATGTCTTTTATTATGTCTTTTTGTGCGACTGGATTTGGTCATTACGCTAATATGGCGTATGTATTTTCGATGGGGCGGCACTCGTGTATGTACATTCACCGCCGGAAAGCACAAGCTTTTATGGAATTTCGGTATTATGGGATGACGAATGGTATATGTATGGCCTCGAGAACGACGAAGGTAAGTAACATCGCCGTTCCTCGCTTACGTTCCGCACCTTCAGATTGACATTCGACTGATTTTACAATAATGACGCTGTGATCTTGATCTTGAATGCCATGCGAGACGCGCATTGGCCGAGGTGATTCATCGAGACAAGTAAGCGATCGTACACTGCGCGCACTTCCGGCGGACACAATGAATCGCGTTAGATCTTTCTTCCTTAGGACGCGTCGTTAAAGTAAACAGTATTATTACGTCATTAACGATGTAACGGGAGCGAGCGTGGATACGCTTACCGCGACATTATTTTAGCGAGGCGTAAAAATCGCTACAATAATGTTGGATGTGTAATTTTCAATGTGCAGCTTTAATCTGTCGCGGATAGGCTCGGCGGTTTCGATTTTTCGCCCGATACACGTGCGTCGGGCGTTTATTTGTCTCTTGAAAGCATGCTATTTTTGTGGCATAGAACACGTTGACATTCGCCATCGGATCACGGGAAAGGAAGGGACGCGAAAGAAAAGGTGCGACGGCGCTAATAAGCGCACCAATGCTCAATATCGATCCCTCGTAAACGTTAACGGCGACCAACGAATCCGTTCCGTGTTCCCCCCCTCCCGCTGCGCCCGTGCTCTCTTCGTGATTTTTCATCCCTCCCCCCGTTCCCAAGTTCCGATTTCGAGTTGCCACCGTTTCCTCGACATTTTATTCTCCAAGACTGAGAGTCCTTATCTCGCCTCGTTTTATATTTCGCGATTTTAGTGTAATGTATAATATAGAAAGAAAAAAAAAACTAGATCGAAAGAGAGAAGAATTTTAATATATTTACCCGGCGAGAACCTCGCGGACAAGGATTTGTGCGAACGCAGCATCGAATATCTATCGAATTTTATTTGATACTCGAATGCTACCCGTTGAAAAGCAGGAAATAAGAAAGAAAAACGTGTCGCGATTCATCGCAACTCAGAGTATCCACTATACATCATCTCTATTTTAAGAAAAAGCATTGTTAAATGTCTTTTTCTTTTCCGTCTATGATGTAATTAGAAATCTATGATATATAGAAGAGAGAATCGAAGTTGATCAGTTCACATAAGTCCGACATCATGGCATTATATATTGATAACAGCGTGCGCGTGGATAACGCGTGGATATTGTTCCATTTTTACTACGAGCGGGCCTAAAGGACCTGAGGTAGCTATCTTGCAAGACTACCTGTTTAGGTAGTTTAACGATATATATATCTATCTCGTACAATCGACGACGTATAGAGGGAAGAAGCTACAGCGAAACGAAACTTTATGTAGACTTAGACACGTCCTCTCTTCGTATGTTCTCTCATCTAAACCAAAGAAGTATAAAATATAAATATGCATATACATAATATACATACACACAGACACACACTTATATATGTGCGAGAAATGTGTTATGCAAAAAGACAGAAAATTAAACAGAATTTATCGAGCCCTCGCGAGGGAAGAAAAAACTGACAAACTGCCAAAACGATACACCATCATCGCCACCTCAATAGTACGCACACTTTGTATTTATCGCATTTACAACGTAGTCCATTATGCATTAATTGATTATAAGATATCTACGGAACAGCCATGGACATCGACGGCGGAATTTTCCTTCACCGCGATAATGTAACTAAGTATTCTACGCATTTGATGTATTCATGTTTAGCAGCTATGTTTAGTGAGTAGTATCGGTAGGGAGCATGTTCTATCGATGTCGACAGGTACCATTTAAAATATATCGTGTAGAAAACGAGGAGGTGAGAAGCAGGTACGTAACACGTAGAAGATAATTTCGTCACTGATGTGACCGCACGAGATGGTGTTTTTTTGTTTCACAGCAGCGAGCAAATTCCATCGATTTGTTCGCCTGCGAATTCGTGCAACGGAAACGCGCAAGCAATTGAAAATAGTGCCAATGCGTGAGCCCATCGTGTATACACTCTCGATTTGATCTCGCTGTTTGTCTTTCAGGAAAATACATGGCAGGAAGCAGAGAACAATAACTTCCCTTTTCCATTTTTGGATATAATACTTATACACTTATATGACTGACAAACGCACATTTCTGGGTAATTATGAGAGGTAAACCACCGGCCAATATAAATAAAAAATGTATTAGTAGACTGCTGTTTAATACTTAAAAATTACAAAATTAATATATAGTGTAAGTATATACATTTGGACGGTGATTTACTCCTCGTATCGTCCTTTCTTTTATATACGCGTAATTATATCTGTCTGGAAGACAAGCTCGCCGAGACAATGGGATCAATCCGATCGATATTGATCACTTCTGGTATCACGATGGGTTTTAAAAGATGTAAAACGCAAAATAGCACACAAAGATTCACGGACCAAGCAAGAACAAGCGAAAACATTTTGCTCGTTACGGATTACCGTTGGGATATTAAAGGCAGTGCCTCGCCACTGCGCTTTATCACAAAGGTATGGAGTTTAAACCTTGGTGCCCGTTGGTACCGCGATAACAGTATAAGATTTATGCTGTTGGTATTATATACGATTTTTAGAATGTGTACATATATACATTGTATATATAGAAATTACACGGACCACCGCGAATCAGTTTCTTCCATTGATATACCAAAGAGATTGTGGAGTGATCCCTTTATCATTGTGATTTGTATATTTGACGATTACCGTAGCATATCGATTGTTCTTTAATATAATTCGTTATTAGGAATACAATTTCTTATGATTTATATAAAGTTATGTTTTCATAAATGCATAATTTTGTATAATGTTGTATAATTTTAACGGAATTAACGCTAGAATTATTATTAACAGCACCGCTATTTTTGTCAAGTTTATTAATTTTGTATGGACGTGGTGTCGTGTGTAATTACATAATCGAATGTATTTATCGCATGCACGTCAATCCTATAAACGTTGAGAGTTTCGTTTGCTTTACTCCAATCAAATTTGCATAGCAAATGCGTTTTGACACCGTCGTCGGTTAATTCCACAAAGGTCCTCGTAACAGTGCAATTCGCTAATATGTATTTATATTCTCTTGAATAGAGCTTTAGATAAATAAATAGTATCGCAAGAACGGCATTCTCTAAAATTATATCATGACATCATAATTTATGAACTTATTATTTCTGTATATTTTTTGTTATTACTCATTGAAGGCTGGCAATAAAAACATGATTTTTTTTGTTACAACGTTGTTATTTTATGTGTAATAAGGCCGACCATTCAAAAATGCGGATTATACAATACAGATTTTGACAATGGCGGTTTAATTACATGCGTAAATGCGAATCGCTGTAAACTGATTCCGGTGGTAGCGTATCCGCAGTTCTTTGTATGGTAAATAGAAAAAAAATCTGTGTACAGTTGTCGATATTACCTTCGTTTCGGTCGCGAGCGCGAATTCGTGCGCTTTTAAGGCCATATAGTTGGATGCATTTCGCGGATCGTTACACGTGAAATGCAACTGTTCCTGATTTTCGCGCAAGCAAGGATATTAAAGCCGGGAGTTAATATTTCGGAGCACGAAACTTCTGTACTTTTTAATATACGAACTCTCTATACGAGTTGATCTCTAGTCCCGGAAAAGTTATTAATTCCGAAAAATGATATATTCCCCGGTATTAATCCGCGTACCTGCGCCAGTAAAGGGCTCGTGAAGCGAGATGAATGTGTGTGGAGTAATGCGCGTACAAAGATGCAGCGAAAAAAGAGCGGCATTCCTCGAAACAGATACATGTTTTTACGTGCGAACGCTAACTTTTTCTTTTGGCCGTTCTCCGCTCGTGTAATGCGGCCGGCTGAAAATCGCAATTTGCATCCGCATAGTTGACGGCGCGTTATCGCCGGGTGAGTGCGCGGTTAATTATTAACTAGCTTAGGTAATTGCAAACATATGTACTCTCGTCTCTGGCGCTCCGTATCGGGCGCGTCGAATAATTTCGATCGATATAAAGTTTGAGACCGGTTATAATTTCGTTGAGTTCGTATTTTCACGTAATCCCTGACGCCGTCAACACTTTAAAAAGCCACGTCTCATCGGTTTCGTTACACTCCACATCCGATCCCAGCGATATATATTGATCTTCTACACTTTTCAAATGTATATAAAACATAGATGGAAAGGCGGAGAATTTAGCGCTTTTAAGAATCGTATTCGTATTCTTCATTAATGTAACGTACTGCTGTTCGTTAGCTGGTTAGGTATCTCGCAACTATTTTCGTCGATTCTACTTCAGATCGTGATTACGTAGATTTTCGATTTCAAATCCATCCACAAAGTCGGAGACTCGAAAAGATATGCGCGCAGATTCGCCTCGAACGCGACTATCCATTTTTGCAACAAGGCTGGTAGCAGGTGCCAAGTTAAAAATATTTTTCACTGCCGAAAAAAATAATTATATTTGCTAATTAACGTTAATTACTCTTAATAATTGTTACGTTTCAGCTCTTTGTGCAATAATAATTTAGTCAGCTATAACGATCGTATTACTAATTTTAAATTGATATCTACGAAAAAGGAATGTATCTGTCGCTTGCGTAAGACAAAAACATGATCTACCTATCTGTATCACTTAAATCGTTGCGCATATACATTGAAATGACTTTTTATTAGCGCCATTCTCTATTATAGTGCTAAGCTATACTGTGTAAATTTCTGATCTTCGATAGAAATTCTCGTTCAAGAGATCAAGTGTGTTGTACGGCTTGTATCTTCTAAATACATTCAAGATTGCATTAAAGGAATGCCGAGATGATATAAAATTGAATCCTTTTCGAAAGTAGACGAATAATTGGGCCAGAAGAACGAAATGTGGAAAAATGAATCTTCACATATATACGCATATGTAGAAGTGTATATAGCAAGAATAAATGTAAAATAAGCGAACCAGAAGCGATTTAAAAGTTAAAATGTCACGGCGCGAAATGCCGTGATCGCTGGAACGGAAGAGTAGACGAATCTGGTATCGAACGGTCACGCTTTTCCGAATGTAGCGCGAATGATATTAAAAAAAAAAAAATTGGATATAACTCTGCTTTTTCTATCTCATACACAGCGATACTCTCATAAATATTAGTTCAAGTTAACTGAAATTCGAACGATTTCTCTCTCTCTGTTTGGGCACAGAATCAAAAAGAGACGAAGAACCATGTTAAATCTCACTTCTTTTAGCTCAATTATCTCAAATCATTTTTATGGGAACAATCCGTATTGTAGTGCGCATTGCGCAATCTGTCAACACGTGTGTATACGGAGTGTTCGAACTTCACGAGTAGTTGTAACACTTGCGCGAAAGGGCTGATAGATAGTCGATAGTTATACGGAAGATATATCTGTTAGAGAAGTAGAGGCAGCAAAGATCACTATCCTATCCGTCACGCCGCGCGCCATTGAAGGAAATAATACCTAAGTTTTTCCACGAGTCATCTGTTTATCGTTACGCAATGGCATTCGACAGCATTTGTGGTTATGGCGCAATCATCATTTGCTCGAGATTTTGGCAATAACGCGAGCGTGAGTTTACGCTAAATACTTTTACAAAAAAAAGACGATGTAATTGCATTTATGTCGCGTATCGCTGAAGCGGTCGATTCTTAGCGTAGAGGCGATAGATTTTTCTCGCCTTTTAATGGGCATAATTCGCTACCGTTTGGAAACAGGACGAAAAATTCTATACTATTTGTATATACCACGGGGAACATCATTATCGTGATTTCACGATACGCTGCAATTGGTAGAGGAAAGTGGGGATGTGTGATAAAGTGGGATCAGCTTACGCGTGTGAAATATTAAAATAATTTCCATTTTACATATAAGCATATACGATTTTTTGATATAAGTATACGATATCTATTGAATTATATATATATATAATTTGTATTTTTATCACGGAAAAACGCGCAGATAAAATTTTCAACATCTAATATCAGAGATCAAATATACATGTATAACGACCACATCACATTCCTACCTTCCCCTTCGTAGGTGTCAAAGCGCTAAACAATGATCGATCTCGGAATATTTCCGACTATATGATGTGGCAGGGAATAGTGGCTTGATCGTTGTGTATTCTGAAGATTCGCGGTTGAACAATAAAGAGGAGTAATGTATTCGCTAATCGTAGGACCGTGCGATATGCGAAAACCGACACGACGTCGTCGTCGGTGCTCCTCGACGTCGGGGACCCGGCGAAGTCGCAGACTCTCAGACACCGGCGGACAAGGGTGAATAGGGTATTCGTCGGGAAAACTTCGCGCTATGAATATTTATGTACGCTTTACGATCTTGCGCGCGCGCGCACACACTCGAGAAGTCCGGCGACGAGTCGAGGACAGGATTTGTGCGGTCGAGTGTAAGTACGTACTCAAATATATAGAGAAAGAGAGAGCGAGAATGAGAGCGAGAGAGAGAGAGATAGAGAGGGAGAGAGAAAAAGACACACGTACGGTCGGTGTCTTTTGAAATCAAAAAGGAACAAATCCGTATGGAACTGTTGCCGAGAATGCCATATAATAAATGCGCTATTTTATACCGAGCAGCCTGATTAGACGCAAACTGCCCCTCCCCCCTACGTTCTTGTATACATTATATTTATTATTGTTCATGTTTACTAGAATGATATATATATATGAGAAAGAGATTATTCCCTGGATATCTATAACGCCTTGAAGAAAATAAAACAGATACTTTGCGGAACATCGTTGCGTGTTTTCATTTGAGCCTTTAGACCAGCTCCTCTTCTGATCTTCTCCTAACTGACCTACTTCAAATCTGATTGAGTTGATTCATTTAAACGTTGATCTATTCGATTACCCCATTGTCTCTCGCTAAATTTAGTTGTTGTGTATTAAGGAAATTCATTTACGATTCTTGCTGATGAACAGCTAGGACGACGTTTATTCTTTAGAGAATAATAGTCGCGCTACGGGCGAGACCCTAACTTCTTCCGAGTGAAATTGGCATTGTTAGTCGCGGAATCGATAATGCAGCTTGTACTTTGTATAATTTCTTCCTTCCTTTTCCGACCGACGGAACCGGTCCGCAAGGTAAGCAGGCAGTTCGGTAAAGATGCTAATTAACCAAGTTTCACAGTCTTAACAAAGTTTTTCGATTAGCCAGTAAATTGTTATACGATGCGGGCCTCTCTTGCCATGGCAGCGCGGCGGGCAGGCTTGCCTATTATCTTCCCAAACAAACCTAAAATCGTACCGGTGAAACGCAGCAAAATAATAGGAAGCCCGGAAGTTCCGTCGTTAAAATTTGTCGAGAAAGTGCTGAGAATCAATTGGCAAGCCGGCTACGTCTTCAGAAAGTTAGTCCGCACCCAAGTCTTGACACCTGAGACAGCGGAACTTTCCCGTGGCTTTCATCGGGAACGCAATTACAAACTGCAGTAGTAAAAACAAAACTCTTGGGATTTTCTTGGGCTATACAACAATTGCGCCAAGCTGAACTTTAGAAATATTATTTTAAAATATTACTATCGAACCAGCGAAGTACGTATAATAATGCAAAAATCTTAGAAAATTATGGGAATATTCGATACGAAAATAAAAGAAAACGAGAAAATATCAAACAATAATTCTGAAAAGAAAAAAAGCGAGAAAATCCTTGGAGCATTTCCTCGGGAATATTTCCATGTCATTATCGCGTAATATAAAGAAAAAGGAGTTCGTATAGTCGAAATAAGGGCGCATGGCGATATAATTTGCGGGATTTCGATATGACAAATCGTTTT